TGTAATGCATCCTTTGGTGGAAGGGACAAAAGGGGAAAACTCTTTATAATCCTACTCCTCTTAGGAATGATTGGATTTGCCCAAATTTGGTCTGAAGTATTCTTCTTGTTGTTATATCTTGTGTGGAGGATCATTTCAGCAAACTGATAGAAATAAGCAGAGAACCATCAATTGAAGACAAATTATAAAGCAAAGCTGCGTGATTTTATGGGTTTGACTTTATCATATAGACCAAATAGGGAAATTAGTTAAGAAATTATTTCTGATGTTTAAAATTCTTTGTGAGTAAGCCGGGTGAGTGAAGAAGGCCCCTTCGACCTTTTGTTTTCATATGTTCTCTAATTTTCTCACTTTTTATTATCGACTTTTCTTATATTTATATGATTTACTTTTCCAATTGCTATAAGTCAGTCTAGAGGGTTCTTTTGGGGATACATACCATTTTTCACCAGTCAATAAAAACCACTGAATATCATCTATCCTCGATAGCTTTACACGTATAATTCCAGAGCAGACATTTTAGATCAGCTGAAATCGCTCCTTAAGTCTATCAGTTTGACTTCAATTTCCTGTAGAGGTGAGTATAATCGATAGCCCGAGGTGACCAATCAGTGTACTGATTTCCTTCTCATGTTCCGCTTCTGTCGATAATGATAAACCTCGATTATACGCAGGTGAATATTTAGATATAACTCCATCTATTAAGTTCTCTGCATATAAAAGACATACTCTGTGTAATTTGTCTCGATGCTTTGTTTTGGGATTCTAACGTTGGTCAGACTTCCAAGTCTACTCTGAGCTGATCATATGATAGTACTTTGTAACCCGTTAAAGTGATAATGGTTTACCACACGGATGAAAGGCTGCATCTGAAATCAAAACAGGTTGGTACTGTTAGTCACAGGAGGTTTGCCTTTATGTGCATGTCACGTTTCAATTCTTGTGAATTAGAGGTCATACTACATTCTTACACGACGTTCTTTGGATATTTTATAGAATAACGGTTATTATTGTAACTCCCAATCTAGATTTTATAATTTCTTTCGACCAATCTTCATTTAGGCCCTTAGCATCACTGACGAGTGAAAGCCTGGCGAAAAAGCAGTATGATGTAGTTTAATTCAGACAAATGCGATATATATTTAGACATTATACCAAGAATTTTTTCTGTAAGTATTTTAGTATTCGATAGAGGTTTGAGAAGGTATTACGCAGAGTGCAAGTACATAGTACTGATTTGATGCATTTTACTTAAACACACTTTTTATATGGTAATAGATCTATGTCGAAATTGACATAATGAAAAATTTTAAAGCCAGGTGTACGTCAAACGTCCTTTTGACTTCTTTGGCAATCTTTGAACAAACGGAAGTTTTACATGAATACTCCTGAAAATATACAAGGAGAGTAAGACCAGGTGATCCGGAAGAGGAAGCACTATTCCGCTTCATCGTCGACACCCATTTATAAAACAATAATTATGCCAACTCTATGTATTATTGTTTTGTAGCTCTTCTTCGTTATCAATATGACCATTTTCAAGAGCAGTCATAATTTAAATACATATCAAAGAACAATATATGTCACTCCAAAGCGCTGTCTTTTCCTGTCTTCTGAGTGTAGTTTTCATTTTGGTGCGTGAACTTTGTTATTGCTACCTTTTGTATCATCTGTAATAATTTAATGATTTTTTTCTTCTTTTGATTAAATAGGAGAATTCTCCTAATGAAAAAACCTATGCAGGTGTAACATGTTTCTATCAGTGTTTTGAAAAAGGAAAAAAAGAAAATACCAACATGTCATAAGAATCTTTATTCCAATTAAAATTGATGAACAAGGGGCAAATATGAAGAAAACATATTCAGATAACCCCGGTGAATAAGACCAGATGTTCCAGAAGGGTAAGGATCTTCTGGTTCATCGCCAACACCCGACATAAAAGCACGCTAAATTAGATTTTGCAATGTCAGGTTATCAAAATAATAACAATGTGAAAAAGAACTGATCATGGATACTAAACATATTACATGGAGTATGATGTAGAACGCTGAATATGTTTTACACGCGTTCCCGATTTCCCCGAAAATATGGGCTTTGCTTTAGCTATGATAGGGTGTAAAAACTTCTGTGCTTGCCAAATTGAATCAGCGCTGAGAACGATAAATCAAATTTTAGGCGAGTAATGGTGGTGCGAGACTGTTCTTCTCATTAGCTCAGTATTGAACGATTCGTCCGAAATACATATCTAAGTATTCATGCATAAATGAACGTAAGATTATTGACACGGAAAGATAAATGTAGAAAGAAATTCAATAATATTCACAATATCTAGAGGCATGTTGATACCAGTATATAGTGTTACATAATGTAGTATCCTACACGACGAATGTAAAAAATGCCCACTAAGCGTCTAACTATTTAACGTGCAAAATCGCTGTCGCTGGCAGTTTAACATAACACATAATATATGGACTAACATATAAAACGCACACTTAAACAGCTAGCTGTAGATATATCATTACCGAATATAAATCATTCTACAGGGTAATCTCTAGCTTTCTTGCTGATCTTTGTCATACATTTAGTGTGAGATTGCGGCTCACTATAGACTTAATTTGGATTCCGTTGAATGTAATAACTACAGACACAAACAATTGCTCTACAACTCGGAGTAGCATTACTGACTTTACGTGATATATCTTCTCTTTATTGGAATGTTTTGTCAGCTTTCCTATAAAATGAAACTGGATGATAATACAGCTTAATGAAATAGAACCTTGTTACATCGAAAGAAATACCTTCATTGTGAGAAAGCACCAATAATATTGATCAAAATATATATTGCAAACTGCGCTAGCATACAAGTGTTACAGCAGTATCAGCATCGATGTATCAGCGTCAACACGAACGAAAAATAATGAAGTAAAGTTTCACCACAGAAGCGAAACTGTACTATACTAGGAGCATACAAATACTAAAATAGATAAAAATGTAAATGCATTGCTCATACTATGAACTTATCTACATGCCTATTGCCCTTTTGTCCATAACACAACTCTGCTTTCATTTAAACTAGGACATTGACACTTGTACAAATTGCTCATCATAAGATATGCGGTGTACTTAATACATAGCCTAAAACGGAATTATTGCCCTTTATTGAAATTTTGTGTCCAATACAGTTTTTGTTTTAGAGACAATGATCAGTTTCATTGAAACTCTTGTTTTCATGGTTGTCCATACTTACCACAGCTTGATCTTGCTAGCTAGTTCTTGGAACATTCACATCAATGACGTGACTAAGTCTTATATTATGACGTTTTGTTTCAGAAGCAGATGTACAGACGTTTAACTTGGCAAAAGTATTGATATATAATCTTTCTTCTATTCACCCAAATTATATAAACATTACATTTTAGGTGCGGTATCAAACACAGGGCAGTGACTCGTATTTGTATGAGGTAACATTGGTGTCTATTTAGTTATGTCCCAGAATTCCTCACTACACCTTTTAACCGGAAGTTTTATCACACCACTTCCTGTTCCTAACAATTTACAGTTGATGATTTAAAATGAGATTTGTATCTACTAATGAACTACATGTGTTATGTTTACAAAATGCATGGCACATGTTAGTGTATATTTTACCAATAGCCTGATAAATGGTAGGGCAACAGGAAGTGATGTATGATACTGTAACATGTTTAGTTGTAAACACATCCCTGGTTGTGGTATAACGCAAAATGCTTTACTAATCAGTTCAAATGTTTCAGATAAATTCGTTTCAACACTTCTTCCCATTTTTGATATTTATTTTAGTTTCACCAGTTCAGGTCCATCCCATATCACCTTCAGTAAAGTGAAATATCAATATCACTGCTATTTATATAACGTATTTGATACCCATCATATATGTGAAATATTTCTTGTAAATCTGATGTGACGGTCAATACCTCTGAGGTCTCTTTAAAAGGACGAAAGACGAACGATACGTACTTTAATTTCCGATTAGCCAAAATAGGGGTGCATGCTGGCCTAAAGGTTTTGTCAACTCGCACGTTGAAACGTTTTCCCTTGGTATGCAAGTATTGACATCAGGTTGTACAATGTATATGTAGCATGCATGTTATGAAATATCCATCTGACATATATAGTATATTACTAACATGTAGTTTTGGAATACAGGTAATACTCTTACGAAAACTCCTGACGCCAGGAATTGGTATCCATATAAGGTAAAAGTAGAACATGACGTCAAAATACGTTTATGAATATTCAGATGAAGATTAAATAGACAGGACAACTAAAAGAGGAACATCATCAACAATTACCGCTACCTCCGCAAAATATGTTACAACATTGTACATTGCATGGTATTTGCCGTTATTTTTTAATTAACCGTTTTTATGAAAGATTATCTACGACGGATAAGATAGATCAGAGGTTATCTGATTCTTTGAAAACGGTATATGACCGTACTTGCTGATGTCATGTTCTTGAATTTTTCAAGGGGTTGATTTAATATGATAAATTCATTATTCATCTCTCCTCAGACATATACCACTAGTATCTCCAAATCACCAAAAGATTCATCGCATTCTCTCTACTTAGCATCTGTGATGTTTTAACGCTTTCGATTTAAATTGATTTAATTGATGTTCTTCTATCCCGAAAACATTCATCCTTTTACTGATGGAATTGTGTGGCATTGTTGAGGAATAAAATTCATGAGGACTACATTTCTGTATTTGGCCAATTTCCTCCCTCGTTTGTAACTCAACATCAGCTATTCTATCATACATTGTAAAATATCATTGATTTGATGAATTTTCATGTTTTTGTCACGATTTTAGTAAATGAAAAAGTTTGATCCGACGGACTTGGAAGATGAGAACTACCTTATGAGGAAGAATAAGTCTTTTCCGGGTGTTGATGGCAAAATCTGACCGCACACACTCGGATTTTGATAGAGGACTAATTGTATCGTCTCTTGGTTGTAGATGACCAAGTTTGACCGGACGGACTCGGAAGATGATATCCTAGAGGATTACAGCGACGACTGTAACTGTTCACCACATCTTCATTGTCTTAAGAGCAGGACACCGCTTGAAAAATGTCTCTTCGTTATCTCACTCATCGCCCTCGTCATTATTATCATTCTGGCTGCCTGCCTTGGATCGAAAACACCACCTCCGGGTAAGATCACACCGAGGCAAGATTTACTTCCTACCTTACCAGCTTACATACAATGTTTGTTCAGTGGCAGTTTGAAAACATAATTTAGGGTGCACCTTTACACTTTTAAGTAAATATACTTTCCCTTCTTGCCTGTTAATTTGAAGTCTGGCATACCAATCAGACTGTATTACGCCGACATTCAATGAAAGCTAAGGTATCATTACCGCAGCATGGTTTTGACATTGGCAGTAGACTAGCAACTTGTTAGGACCTGTTAGCTAATAATAAGATACAGGAGAACGCTTACGTCATGATAGTTTAAATTTACTTTTGGTTTGAACAGTTTTTTTTTCCACGGGAAAGTGTCTAAATCATGTGCTGAAATGTCACAGATATTAAACTGGTTGCAAAATGAACCCGTATCTACCTACTGCACTGGTGATTACAAAACTATATAAAAAAGAAACTATACAGTAAGAAAATCACATCCATGTAATTCTCCTTGATAAACAGTGGCAATTTATGTGACCATTTTATACTGTTTCAAGTACCGTTTTATGTCGGGGTAATTTCGTTTTCGTCTTTGTTCCTTGTTTCGCCATCTTTTCGTTTCGTTAGGATTTCTGCTACCATATAAAAGTAGTTACTTTCCTATTGTTTATTGAACACTGAGGTGCCATATATTTACCAGCTAGGTCAGACGCGGTAATGAAACGTCGTGATGAGCATAATTGAGCCCTAGAATCTGTAGCAGTCCCTAACTTTATCACACACAGGCTACTCCGCAGTTACAGAGCTTTTTTCCAAGAACACAGACATGCTCTTACCCAACAAATCCGTTTCCAGTCGGATGTTTTACGCTTTGTTTGCACGTACTGAAAAGGAAATTACACTTAAATGCATTTTACTGTAATGAAGTAAATACGGCTGATGGAATCGTTTGCGCCAGTGATTTGCATATAATGACAGATAAGCAGCAGAATCGATCCTATATATATATGTAAAGTGATTTCACTGATTCAGACACCCTATGAAGCACGTCTCACCGGGATTACCTGTATTAGATCTTTATCGTAAAACACAGAGCCTGATAACTTTCTGGTAACCCTTCCCGTACTATATAGTGCTTTCAAAAAATCTCGTACTTTTAATTTCCGTTCCTATATTATCTACAATTGAAAGCAATCCTTCTGATTCGAAATAAATTGCATTTTCATGTTTGATAGAGATTAATCTCAATGATTTACAAATGTTTCTGTACACGATGAACAAATCACAAGTGAAGTATAAACGTTATAGTATGTCTGACATAACTTCAGTGGAAATGTCTTTGCATTAGTATTATTGATCGATGATAATACTTGTTATATTAAACGATCAGTTTCTATCGGGGAACGACCCTGAATCATCTTGAATATAGGTTTATAATTCAGAGTTTACAACATACGTGTAGTGGCAAACAAGAAAAATAAAAGCAATAATAATGTATCGAAAAAAAGCATGCTACAAATATAAGATATTTAAATGTGATTGTTTCAAATAATAATTAAATTCATTTGTTACATTGAAGTAAGAATGACTAACGCTTCCAGTGTCGTACCTCTGTTACTGTTGGGATATGTCTCAGGAATGTCGATATGTGAGACACAGGATTTTAATGTACCACTGTTTTATCTTATGTTCCAGGGAATTCGATATGTGAGACACAGGATTTTAATGTACCACTGTTTTATCTTCTGTTCCAGGGAAGTCGATATGTGAGACACAGGATTTTAATGTACCACTGTTTTATCTTCTGTTCCAGGGAAGTCGATATGTGAGACACAGGATTTTAATGTACCACTGTTTTATCTTCTGTTCCAGGGAAGTCGATATGTGAGACACAGGATTTTAATGTACCACTGTTTTATCTTCTGTTCCAGGGAAGTCGATATGTGAGACACAGGATTTTAATGTACCACTGTTTTATCTTCTGTTCCAGGGAAGTCGATATGTGAGACACAGGATTTTAATGTACCACTGTTTTATCTTCTGTTCCAGGGAAGTCGATATGTGAGACACAGGATTGTATTGAGGTGTCTAGTTCCGTCCTCACCTCCATGGACAGAAGCGCCGACCCTTGTCAGGATTTCTATCAGTACTCCTGCGGAGGCTGGGAGAAAAACAATCCGGCACCACCGGGCTACCTCATGTGGGACCGGTTCCAGCAGCTGTCCTACACCAACCTGTACAGAATCAAAGCAATACTGGGTTCGTAAAGCACTGATTTATATTAGAGTTATATCCTTTGCAAGCGCTTTGTTTTGTAAACATTGTGTTAATATGTCGTAACATGTGTCAGCTGTGATTAAGTGAAGTAATAAATCTTAAAATGTATGTCTTATTTTTTGTAATTGAATACTTTCAGGAATATGACTTTGCTATACACAAAATGTATTTGCTCGCGGTTGTTTTTGTCTCTTTTTAAGCAGTATCGCCCAGTGGTTAACTCACTCTGACGTACGATAAAACATATATTTCATCTTGACAACGAACTGTAGTGTCTTCTTTATAATATTCCAACAGATCAACGTATACAATAAACGAAAATAGATTTTCAATGACTTGTCATCACTAATTGAATATGAAATGTATTTACATTGAGGTAATGGACGATAATACAAGCTATTTTTTCAGACGATAGATGATGAACTGTTCACAATATTTTTTTTCGGTAGATAGAACGATGAAGTGTAGAAAAAATATTTTTCAGTAGACAGAACGATGAACTGTAGAAAATACCGTACATTTCCAGACGACAGAACGATGAACTGTAGAAAATACCGTACATTTCCAGACGACAGAACGATGAACTATAGAAAATACCGTACATTTCCAGACGACAGAACGATGAACTGTAGAAAATACCGTACATTTCCAGACGACAGAACGATGAACTGTAGAAAATACCGTACATTTCCAGACGACAGAACGATGAACTGTAGAAAATACCGTACATTTCCAGACGACAGAACGATGAACTATAGAAAATACCGTACATTTCCAGACGACAGAACGATGAACTATAGAAAATACTGTACATTTCCAGACGACATTTCCAGACGACAGAAACGAGGAACTATAGAAAATACCGTACATTTCCAGACGACAGAACGATGAACTATAGAAAATACCGTACATTTCCAGACGACATTTCCAGACGACAGAACGATGAACTATAGAAAATACCGTACATTTCCAGACGACAGAACGATGAACTGTAGAAAATACCGTACATTTCCAGACGACAGAACGATGAACTGTAGAAAATACCGTACATTTCCAGACGACAGAACGATGAACTATAGAAAATACCGTACATTTCCAGACGACAGAACGATGAACTGTAGAAAATACCGTACATTTCCAGACGACAGAACGATGAACTATAGAAAATACCTATAGAAAATACCGTACATTTCCAGACGACAGAACGATGAACTGTAGAAAATACCGTACATTTCCAGACGACAGAACGATGAACTATAGAAAATACCGTACATTTCCAGACGACAGAACGATGAACTATAGAAAATACTGTACATTTCCAGACGACATTTCCAGACGACAGAACGAGGAACTATAGAAAATACCGTACATTTCCAGACGACAGAACGATGAACTATAGAAAATACCGTACATTTCCAGACGACAGAACGATGAACTATAGAAAATACCGTACATTTCCAGACGACAGAACGATGAACTATAGAAAATACCGTACATTTCCAGACGACAGAACGATGAACTATAGAAAATACCGTACATTTCCAGACGACAGAACGATGAACTGTAGAAAATACCGTACATTTCCAGACGACAGAACGATGAACTGTAGAAAATACCGTACATGTCCAGACGACAGAACGATGAACTGTAGAAAATACCGTACATTTCCAGACGACAGAACGATGATCTTTAGAAAATACCGTACATTTCCAGACGACAGAACGATGAACTGTAGAAAATACCGTACATTTCCAGACGACAGAACGATGAACTGTAGAAAATACCGTACATTTCCAGACGACAGAACGATGAACTATAGAAAATACCGTACATTTCCAGACGACAGAACGATGAACTGTAGAAAATACCGTACATTTCCAGACGACAGAACGATGAACTATAGAAAATACCGTACATTTCCAGACGACAGAACGATGAACTATAGAAAATACCGTACATTTCCAGACGACAGAACGATGAACTATAGAAAATACCGTACATTTCCAGACGACAGAACGATGAACTGTAGAAAATACCGTACATTTCCAGACGACAGAACGATGATCTTTAGAAAATACCGTACATTTCCAGACGACAGAACGATGAACTATAGAAAATACCGTACATTTCCAGACGACAGAACGATGAACTATAGAAAATAAGCCTATTATCGTAAGATAGATCAGGGAACTGTAAAAAATATCATGTTTTTCCATAAGATAGAACGACGAACTGAAAAGATAATCCTTTTCTTTGTTCTTTTTTCAGATGAGAGAACGATGACAACTTCGTCAGAAAAGAAAACCAAGCGGTTTTACAACAGTTGTATGGCGGAAAGTAAACTTAATCGACTTCGGACACTGAGAGATTTCCGAGCCCTTGTTAAGAATATCACTGATGCAGCAAATGGAACTCTAGGGGTCCTTCTAGAATCCGTCCACAGTTTGAATGCATGGCCCTTATTTTCTGTCCGGGTCGGCACCGACGATCTAAAGCCGGACAAAAACGTAGTTAAGGTATAATTCTTTATTAATACAATGGTAATGCAATTGATGACACTAAAATGGCTGAAAGTTTTCATTGTTAACACAAACAACGATAACAAAAGCAACGTCACAAATGAGTCGCTGAGAGAGGATTTTGTTAATACAAATAAGTGCTATATAAACGTCACCAAGGTAGAGGACCTTTATGTTCAATACAAACAACGGCACAAAACTAAAATTTGCACTACATAATTTTAGATGAAATCTCTGATTTGTAAAGCAAATCACGTACGATACAAGAGAAAACATTTCATTTCCTTCCTGTCAATGTTGTTGAAACCATTTACTCTAATACCAGAATATTAAATATATGAGCGTTCAATATGACACGATACATAGTATGATTACTATTCTCTGTTGCTGATGGTTTGACAATTCAGTTGGACAAGTTCCAATCTTTCATGGTTACAGTTTTTTCCTTGTAATATAATTATATATTTTTACTGTTAGATCGACATAGGTGACCACAAATATCCTCTTCGTGTCAAGGAAGCGCCGATACCGTCCACAACGGCAGCTCCCACGATAAACAGCACCCTCGCCCCGGGGAGTAATAACGCCGGATACAGTACCATCAACACACAAAACACGGTTCACTACCTAAAATGGAATTCCACCGAGGTAAGTGATTATTAACAACTATGTTGATCTCATGTTTCTTCTTGGTTTGTATCATTCCTTTTGTTATATTGTCTCTTTGGTATTAAATGTTCTGTATTCATAGTTCCTAACGATGTTTTATTTTTCAAAAAGTGCATCTTACACATCAGATAACGGTTTAGTTTAATGTAAGTGAAGTTACAAGATCCTCGTGTCGTTGCTGTTGCTAACATAATGGGTGTCGTCGATGAAGCATAAAATGATTACGTTTCGGAATACCTGGTCTTATTCTCCTTGTGCTGTTTCAGGAATCTTCGGACAAATCTTTTATTTGTTCATATCTTGCCCTAGTTTTATGGAATTTGAGTTTGAATTATGATTATGTTGCCATGTTGGTATTTTCTTTATGTTCCCTGTAGGTGGAGAAGAACTATCTCCAGGAGACGGTCCGGATTCTTAAAGTAATTTGGAATATGACAGATTCGGACGCGTCCAGTATGGCAAAAGAATTACTTGAAATAGAAAAGGCATTTTCCAAGGTACTTATTTGATGTCTCCTATTCATTATAGTGGAATATATTCTAGCATGGATTCAGAATGTTTAATAACAGCTATTTAAGATGACAGATACCAAGACTTCCATACATAGTCGACTTACCGGTCTACCGCACAATTTAACAAAATAAAGTTTCTTGCAAATACGAGTTATGTTTATACGTAAAACAGGCCTGAAAGGGTCTGTCACGTGACCTGAAGTGTTTTTATTTACCCAATGTTGACTGATTTATATCCGGGATTAGTGACTTTTTTGTGTATTTGGTTCCACAGACCTACGAAGAGAGTTCCACTGATGGTAGTCAAGCTAAGCCTGTGTCGATGAAAATTGTCGACCTGGAAATAGCATGTAGTACGGTAAGGTTAAACTACTGGTATAATTAAGACAAAGTGTTTTTATTTCTCTATATCGAAAGGAGTGAAGATTTATATTATATGTTATCGTATATAGACGGTTTAAAACACATCTAGTAACGCTTTAATGCATCTAGTAACGTGGTAATACATATAGTAACGTGGTGATACATATAGTAACGTGGTAATACATATAGTAACGTGGTAATATAGTAACGTGGTAATACATATAGTAACGTGGTGATACATATAGTAACGTGGTGATACATTAGTAACGTGTTAATACATATAGTAATACATATAGTACATATAGTAACGTGGTGATACATATAGTAACGTGGTGATACATATAGTAACGTGGTAATATAGTAACGTGGTAATACATATATTAACGTGTAATACATATAGTAACGTGGTAATACATATAGTAACATGGTAATACAGATAGTAATGTGGTAATATAGTAACGTGGTGATACATATAGTAACGTGGTAATATAGTAACGTGGTAATACATATAGTAACGTGGTAATACATATAGTAACGTGGTGATACATATAGTTGCGTGGTAATACATATAGTAACGTGGTGATACATATAGTAACGTGGTAATACATATAGTAACGTGGTAATACATATAGTAACGTGGTGATACATATAGTAACATGGTAATAAAGTTTTACGTAATATGTACTGTTATATGCCTAGTGAAATATATATTTATTAATCAATTACCACTTCTCTTCATTCATTTTGTACCTCTGTATTGTATTGATATCTGCTTTTACAAACCATGTTTGTGAAAAAATTACATATTGACTTGTTGTAGTTCAGGTACCTGGCAGTGCTTTCACTTTCTCTCCGATTAATGTTTACAGATCACGTTGTGCTGTTGTATTGTATGATCCAATATCGTCTATTGTAATCAATCATTTCAGATTGAATGGCCTCTATACTTGACTGTGTTAGCCCATGATACTGCGTCCATCTCTAACACAGACGATGTGGTCCTACTACAGAAAGACACTCTCCTCAAAACATGTGCTTTAGTCAATACCTATAAAAAAGGCGCCAATCAATTTAAGTGAGTAGCTTTTTAAATAATTCGGTTAGTCACAAGGTTCAGAATATGTGCAATGTACTTGACATTCTCCTGAAATTATCAGACATGTCAAAAGTTCTTACTTTACTGAATTATGTGAATTACAGGGATTGTTCACTTCGTCTAGATTTTTACATATATTTTATCACTATGGATTTTCTTTAGTCGCAACAAAATGTATACCCTTAGTATCAACGACGTGTTTAAGAAGGACAAAACAGCAATATGATGCGGACTTGTTAATGATTTTACACACTACTGTACCTAACTCTAATGATACAGATACGTTTCACTTGTGTGTTGTACAATCTTCACAGTAAAGTCAATAAGAAGGAGATAATTAAGCAGACTATTCGTTTTTTATGTCAGTCATTTAAGATAGGTTGTACATGTAATTTTGAGGTGGTATTGCAAAAAGATTTTTAAAGTAGTTGACAAATGTTATCGAATCCTCTCAACACATCGCTGCACTACTTCTTTTAACTTCCAGATTACTGGAGAGGTACATTATGGTACACTTGGTAAGTCACCTCATGCCATATTTTGAAGCCGACACGTTTGAGCCAGACCTGGACTATGCTGTTGGTAAGTTAATCTAATAATTTTATAATTTGTTCGGTAAAAGTGCTGATGTCCAATTTCTGGCTTCACCATATCACTGCTGTTAGTGTCATCGTTATGTGATTGGTGTGTGATATCTGAAAACAATCCTCTGATTTGGCTTATTGGATAATAGCTTGTAAACGTAGCGTGTGTAACTTGAAGAAATACTCCACAGATTGAGTATCATTAACAAATGAATTTGTTATCCTAACATACAAAATACGCCTACTCTTCCGGAATACCTGGTCTTATTCCCCTTGTACATTTTCAGGAGTCTCCGTGTAAATCTCGTGTTCATTCGAGTTTGGATTATGATTGTATTGACGTGTTGGTATTTTTTTTCTTGCTGTTTTTATGCACAAGCAGAATAATAGTCCTAGAAAATTAATGACCAATCAAGGAGGGTATATCAGAATTAATTATCATGACAGATAGTCTGATGATATTTTGGCCTTGGATTTCTAACCTGAAAAACTTTGGTGTAATGCTGTATTTAATTATTTTTTAAGAACTGGAGATAGACGGTGAACACTGGCGACGTTGTGTCCATTACACGAACAAAGCTTTAGGATTCGTAACTGGCGGACTCTACGTCAATGGTCTAAGAAAGCATGCCTCGGTCAATAAGGTACGTCAACTTTAGGAAACCTTTCGCTTCCAAGTGAAAATTACTATTCTTTTTTAAATCTTGCCTCCATCAAAATACGCTATTAGTAAATGCAAACAAGGTTTGATTTAGTTAGGAAGGTACGTTATTGAATGACATTGTCTACAAAGTATACACTCTGTGCCTATTGACTTGATTCATTGTTTAGGTATACTTGTCTTATCTAAACCTGTATTAAGTGGGGCCATTCACTTGTGTTTCTTTCGTACAAACTTAGCGCGCAGTGGCGTTTACAGGAATAATGTTTTCTATTGTTTCAGTACTTCATTTTAACTCCTGCAGGTATAACTTATTCATTGTGTCCTTCTTTCTTAATTTAGAGTTATAATGTATGATATACATAGAATTTTGTTATTTATCTTCTTGACAAAGGAAACGTGGAAACTCACATACTGAAGTAGATTCGATAAGAAAAGAAAGAAAGATATATCAGTTGATATGCAATAGTGCTGCTTATTATTATCATTTTTATATGCCAGTTATCATTGTGGTAATACGTTTATATGTTACAGATCAAGCAGATTGTACAGGATGTAAAACTCGCATTTAAAGGCTATCTACTACGAAAAATCTGGCTTGATCCATCCACCAAGAAAGAAGCGTCTCAGAAGGTAAAATCAACACCTCTGGCGGTGCTCGCAATAACAAATTGCAAGCCGCTCTCTTAGAATGATTTTCTGTTGCTAACGTAAATCTTGGCAGATGTTTTCATAATTGATTATTTGAAACACTTTTGCTATCAATGTAGATAATTATTACTCGGTTCGTGCTGTAGATAACAAACATTACTTAGATTTAGTATTTCGTGTTGGCGTTTCAGATTGTTTTCACATTCACTGTTACAGCAACATTTTCTCGTCGTGAATGCATGTATGGTTGAATATTTTTGTCGAGAAATTAGCAGTAACCGGTAGCAGACAAGCAGAAGAAATCAGGCTTAGAATGAAGTTTTTTATATCTAATATTGATTACATTTTGTATACAGGCGTTCAATATTTAATATCTATAGACGCTGTATATGCTACCATTTTTTTGTTTTTCAGCTCGATGAAATACTTGAGAAGATCAGTTATCCGGAATATATACTACAATCCGATTTTCTTGACAAGTTTTATAAGGAGGTAAACGTTGATTTACATAATGTACATATTTTTTCGGAAACGTCTTGAAATGTCATTAATATTATATTGGAATTACGTAAAATATTCTATCTACTATATAGATGATGATGATGATGATTGATGATGATGATGATGATGATGATGATGATGATTCGTTCCTTGTCGTTTAGTTTGATATCGGAGATGATTGGTTTGTGAATGTACAAAGATGGCAGGCGTTCCAGGTGAAACAAATGATGACGCAGCTTAACAAGGTACCAGACCGCTCAAGGTAGGCACTTGTGTAATTCATTTATGACGAATTGTCTTGGTTGTCATCAAGCTATTTCAAACACATATGTGGAATTTAACAGTCAATATTTTACTATATCGCTTTAAGAATTGTTATATATCGTTCACAAACATGGATGAGCATATGGACAGCTCTATGTTGTAACTAAATTTCGCAGTCGGAACTCATCTTGATAATGACTTTACTAATGATAAAATTATTTTATTTCACAAATCCATTACTGTTCAGCGTTTTAAATACATCGTATAATCATATTTACTGTAGTTGGATCAATCCGCCTATCACCGTTGAGTCTGATTATTCACCTGTGAGAAATGACGTCATATTTCCGATTGCATTATTCCATCTTCCATTTTACACCGAGGCAGGTCCGCCGTGAGTAATCATTTTTAATTCACTCTGAAGCAGGACATTACAAATATATATTTGTAATAATGCATTTCACCTGTCATTCTTGTTCTCCATTAAAAAAGGTCATCCGCAAGTAATTTTTTGATATATCATTTTACATTCTACACTTGCAGTCTTTCCCACAAAACATTGACGCTTTGCATGACTTAGCCTAATTATCTGTAATGTTGGAATGACGGATACCAGATATTATTAGTTTTAATGTCGATTTAATTTATTTAACATTCTCAAATACAGGATTTGTTCATAATATATACTCAGCTTTTGCAGCTTTGCAGGAATTTTATTTTTATTTATCATTATTTTTGCAAAGTGCTGATGTTCTTCCTGAAAGATGTATATGTATATATAGCCATGACTGTAACGCAACATTGGTTTGCTCTTACAAATACGATAAAAGAAAAGTAATATATGAGTTAAAATATATTTGAAATATTGCATTTAATTTCGTTTTCTTTTTTTGGCTTTTAGAGCTTTCAATTTTGGTGCCATAGGATCGGTGATAGGCCACGAGATTACACATGCATTTGACATTAAAGGTAGGGTCACGTGATAACATGTGCGTTTGACCTGAAAGGCTGGGTCAAGTGATAACCAGGCGTCTGATATTAAATGAAGAATGACTTGGTAATTCATGCGTTTGTCATTAAAACGAGGGACAACTTAAGCAGAAGTTCACTTTCTTCTTATTCAACTTTGCAGTTTGCTTAAGTACACTCACGTTTTTGTGTATGGCTTCATAGCGTTAAGTGTAATTTGAGTTCACCCGAAGACAGTTTTGTATTTGTTCTGTTTAATACATGAAAGTAGGGCGAAGATCGACTACCACGCGCTCTAAAGTTTGATAACTGAAAGTAGGAGGATGATTGACTTACACGCGTTATCTCTGTTAAATGTTTGATAGAAGGAGGAAGAATAGATCGCAATCCTTCACTGTTTAATATCGGATAGAAGGACAAATGACTCACACGCGTACGAATAATTTGTTTTGTGGAATGAATCTGTCTTTTTTTCACATCCAAAATATTGATGTTCTTTTATGCGATTATCGCTCACCTAAATTTTGGTTTGAAGCATTCTTGGGTGTTGGTAAATTAAAGACGTATAAAACGGTGAGCCTCGGCTACCTAAAGAGTGAAGGGCTAAAAAGATTGACACACACGCGTACGAATTATTTGTTTTTGTTGTATGAATCTTGGCGTTTTTATCACATTCAAATCATAAATGAAGCATTATTGTTCTGTTTTGTCATATGTGAAGACACTTGAAAATAATTAAGTGAAGAAACATCAATTAAAAACTATGTAAAGATGTTCACTTTACCGGGGGGATTCATTTCATCATTTAGGGAGGGGTTTATTTCAACATAATAGTTAAGTGAATATTTCAGGAATCATTTGTCATATTTGAAATTATTCGTTAACTGTCTGAATAGCTGAATTAGGCGGATCCTGATCATATGGGTAAATTTTTCTGTCATAGCCTCATGATAACACGTATGCAGTTCTGAAGATAGATTGAATATATCATTTTCAGAGATAGATGATAATATGAATATCATCCAAGTTACACCAATATGTGCATCAGTGCGTGCCTAGATGTTAGCTGCGGTCTATTGCGTTACGCATGTTTGTTTCGATGGACATGTTTGTATGAATATATTATGCAATTTTACTGTTTTCTAAGCAAAGCAAACTTACCTCCTTTGTTCAATATACGTGCTGATCAGGACGAAAATATGACGGTAAGGGGCGTCTAAGGGAGTGGTGGAAACCTATGACAGCTGATAGATTCAAACTGACGACCAAATGTATGAAGACACAGTACGATTCGTACACCTATCAGGGATTCCAGGTAAAGTTTTCTGTCTTAGAAAGAATCATTCCAAAACCGAGGATTGGAAGGTTTAAAATCTTATTACCATAATTAAGAAAGTATAAGAAAATATATACGAGATCGCACTGCAACTTTAGCTATTTTGACCTTATCCTTGTCTACAATGTTGGGAATATTCTAATCAAAATAATGAAAAATAGAAATTTGAAATAACATGTATAGTTACATGTTTGTTAAACGTTTTAGGTGTAAAAAATAAATATATAGTGTCTATGCAATTGTGCAGATGTGCCTTATTTAACTCATGCATTCTTTTTTTCAACTTTTTGTAGTTGCTATGTTGTTTTGATTTTGTGTAATATTAGATTCCGAGAGACACCTCTTGTAAAAAGCACAAGTGCACACTAGTTAAGATTTTTATTTTTTCAGATTAACGGTGATAACACTTTGGACGAAAACATTGCGGACAATGGAGGACTGCGAGCTGCATTCATCGTGAGTATTAAATGATGGTGGTTTATTATTGTTGGTAACATTTCGTAAATGTGTAATATGACTGCAATATCTAAATATAAAGTTGTGCATTATACAAGCTTACGTGTTGGTTTAACAATAAGTTTGTGAATCACTTTTTTAGACGGCTATGTTGGTGTGATAACGCTATATATTGGAAACTTGAAACACTGTTATTGATTTCATTTAATCATATTTTATTTGTAAATATGCAAAAGGGATCACACTCAAGTTTAAAACAAATGCAATTCATTCTCTTTCGTGAAACATAATTGACGATATACCGTAAAACATTTAGATTTCGCAGGTACTTGTAATTGCATATTGAAAAAAACATGTTTTTATCATTTATTCAATCACTTGAATTGTGTTGAGTTGTCAAGATAAAATGAAAATGTACAACAGTAAATGTTGTATAGGTATTCACAGATTTTTTAATAAAAAGTAATTGGCTTAAAATCATGTTTGTTTTCATTTTTAAGTAGTGATGAAATTTCCAGATTTAGCAAATGTTTGAACCTCAACATCCGCTATACTGAAATATGAACGCATTATTTTAATGTTTATTTTATTCTTTGTTCAGGCTTATCAGCTGTGGGAGCGCCAACATGGTAAAGATCCCGAAGTGCCGGGATTGAACATGACCAATAGACAGCTGTTTTTCGTCAGTTATGCCCAGGTATGTAGGATTTGTTAGTACATATTCGCACAAAAACAAAAAAAAAACGATATTTAACATTAACAAATAACACAACAGAAGAAATGCAAGGTAAAGGATAATGCTTATTTACATGTTTTAAATGAGGTTAACATACTATGTAAGCACTTTTAACACTTTTTGACAAACTGCATGTCAAACTAAATTGAAAACAAATATTGCCTCGTTCCTCAAAATTAAATGAGAAATCTTCCTGACATGCTGAAAAATGAAAAAAAGCAGACAATCTTTAACCCTTTTTTCTCCGGGATAATCGGGGTTTGATTCTACTGAAAGCTATCATAAATTCACTGCCCTGCTTCATGTAGAATTGCTGTTGTGTTTCTTGGTAGAAAGAAAACAGTAATGCTATTTGTACATTATCTTGTAGTTATATGGTACCAGACAGACATTACGATCATGCAATATTGAAAATGGACTTAATCAAACCATATATAAATCTTGGTATTTTTCGGTTCATTAAACATTTTCTCATTACATTTCATAAATGTTACGCAATCAACTTTATATCTGACTAGATGTTCTGCTCTAAATGGAAGAAAGATGGCTTGATTGGACATCTGATTGACGATCCACACAGTCCTGGCCCAATAAGGTAAGTTATTAGTCCCCTACCAGTGAAACTGAGGGGAGTATAATTTTTCCTCTCCGCCTGTGGATCCGTTTGTCCGTCCATCTGTAAAAGTTTGTTAGCGCTCTTGTAGCTTATTTCTCATCAAATTTACATACACACTTGTTCAGTTTCAAATTATCTTGGACAAGTGCAGTTTTTTGGGTTGTTACTCCACCTCAAGGACACTATTACAATTTCAGGAAAAATTGGAAGTCATTACGGTGTCATAACTTGGGGCCGGTAGGAGTCTTGTAACGCTTCAGCGATAGTCAATATGCTTTTTTAGTTAGCTAACCGATTATAGACTAATTAAAGTTACTAGGATAAAAACATGTAATTAATTTGTCGGCGAATACAGCAGTAGTATTGTTCCATTATAGTGTCATTTTTCGACGAGCTTAATTACTGGTGTACAGAGAGTAAAACGCTTTTGAATTTTCATAACGAACGGGGCCAAGAGGGCTCAAATTGACTTCACTTTCAAGAATATTCTTCCCAAAACCTAGGTATTGTAGAATCAAATGCCCTTCATAGATGGAATAGTCTTATGGTGCATTAATTACCATAATGCGTCTCACATTTCTTCTTGGAAAGGAGGTTAACTTAACTGTAATTTTTATAGAAAAAATTATTTTTGTGAGCAAACGTTATTTATTTCCCGCTGGAAATAACTTTGTAAGAATTATTAGTATAGAATGATAGGTTTGATGGTATGCAGGTATTGACACTGACTTACTACCATCAATGTCAATTTCTTTTTCATGACACTTGAAAGCTACTTACCCTTTAACCATTATAAGCGAAATTGCTTATTTCAGGTGACCGTCAAGGCCTCTAGGCCTCTTGTTGAGCATATCGTTGTTATTTCCCACTGGATATAACTTATTAGTATTGGATGACAATTTTGATGGTATGCATGTTTGGCACTGGCTTACAATCACCCAGGTCACAACTTAATTTTCATAACTTTTGAATGTTACTTTAACTTTTATATTCAATATTGCTTATTTCAGGTGTCCGCCAAGGCAGCTTGGCCTCTTGTGTGGCAATATCTCGAAAACTTGAACAATCGCAACCAAACCCTTTACAGTAGTCTATGATATCGGTTGAGTTTTTACAGATTATGCCAAAGTAGCTCATACACTGATGTTTTGTATTCCAGGGTACGTGGCAGTGTTTCCAATACAGAGGCATTTGCTGAAGAGTTTAATTGTCCTTTTGTGGCTAACTATAATCCAACAACGAAATGCGAGGTGTGGTGACCTTAGTGTTCCGCTTCGTGAGATTTGACTCTGATGGAGGATCCTGAGTGTTACGTGACCTTAGCCTCGTCTCTGGATGTAATGTAAACAAATTTGTTATAGGATGTCACGTGGACAATAAGATACTAATTACGATGAAGTGGCCATATTGTGTCATCATGTGTCACGTGGCTGGACCTAAATGTCTCCTGTGGTTGTGTCCTGTACACTTGCGTTGCTGTTGACCGCCATACCTGAGGACACTTGCACACCAACTTTAGAAAATTTGATAAAGGCGTTCTATTAATGATTTCTCTTGATTTCTAAATTATATGGCAAAGATATTATCTTTGAATTTCATACTTATATTAACTGCATTTTATTGTTTATTTTTGGCAGACTTATCCAATCAGTATATTCACTATCGATATGAACATTTGAAATTAAAGGCAGAAAGGGTGTTTAGGTAATAATGATAAATCATTTGATTTATCTTTAAACAATTAAATTTAATTTCAATGGAATGTGATGATAGTTAAGCTAGCAATGCCGTAAACAACTTACCCTTGCCTATGTTTCCATTCTAGATACACTCTCTGCTTTGACAAATGTATGGTGTTCGTATTGTTTCATTTAGCACATACAAACTGTCAAAGTGAACAGTAATGAAAGTGGTTGTCGAATAGTTTCATATTGTGGCGTTAAATGCCATCATTCTACAATTACACTATGTGATGTACATTCCAAAACGTCGGTGCCTTATACTGTAGTACTATTCTTGTGTGCCGGATGTTGCTTTCTCACAACATGCTGTCGTTGTTGTATTCCTTGCAACAATGTATGAACATAGTAGCATATCTATGACTTCCATAACACTTTTCATATCTCACAAGTTTTTTTAGCTTATATAAGATGTTCATATTGTTGACGTGATATCGGCTTTTATATGCTTAGTTGAATTGTTTTATGTGATGTTTGTTTTAGTGTAATTTCCACATTTCAATACATCTGTCGCAAGTATTAAGCTTATATTGGACATCCAAATGTACCCTACTTTATGGTATTTGTTGTTATATTTTTACAGCATATAACGCATTTGATATCAAACACCCCCAGTACTAGTTTCACTGACACTCGAAATGGTATATGATATCAAATTTAAAACATAACTAAAGACAATAAATGCGCACATTCCAAATGTTATGCCAGATAAAGTATTAGAAACAGAACAACTTGTCTTTCGTTTGAAATCATGTCGTCTATGTTTGATGTCATATATTTCAATAATGTCGATATAACGAGGAGACAGATATGTGTTGAGTTTGTGCCAAAAGAAGGAAACACATTGAATTACAAAACATAATGGGAGAGACTTTTCCTTAATGATGTTACTAGCTTAGCTATAATTTCTACCTTTGTCTTTCTCTCATCATCGTGATCGGTAACACAACGAAAGCAACACTTGACAGTGTAGTTTCATAATACACAATCTACTGTGTAAACGGCTATATTAATTTCAATTTCGTTATGAAAATGAATAAAACTTGAAACAAAACCAAATTCAATTATGAGAACTTATAAAAAAAATAGTTTAATTTTTAGATGATTTCTAAATGGTTAGATACAACAGAGAGTGACTGTTAACGTATCGGGGCCTAGTATGATTGATTCTTTGTATGATGATAAATATTAGATATAACACACATATAGACGATACGGTGTTTAGTAGTATGGACTGCATGGTCAAATACGGCGTACAGTACTATATTTGCATAAAGATCAAACTTGTACTTTGACAATTCATCTACAGATAGTGTTGGATAAAATGAATCTCTTGTACTATACTCCACGCAAGTGGTCTTGAGATATCGATCGGTATCGACTGAACAGGACTTTTTTATTGTGTGTATATATATACATATTTTTACATCTTTTGCACGGTTTCATATAAGCACGTTTATTTATAAAATTAAATTGAATGACGAATATTTTCCTATGACTTGATGTGTTTCAATTACTGTTAACAGAAAGAGTGAGTGTGTTGTTTCATCATATTTAGCTACCAGTGAGATGATCTAACTCACTTTATATGCATCCTTCTTCCAGAATAGTTTTTACAGTACACTGTACAATGAGGATTTTACAAACGTTCCGCTATTACACTCAAGAAATCAGAACATTGTGAATAGCTTAAAAGCTCGATTAATGTTTCAAAGTTGTCTCAAATGGAAGGGAGATAATTTCTACGCAAAAAAAATGAAAGAAAAAAATGCGAGATCCATTTTTGTGGCAGATTTTACTGTAATATGTATATGACTTTTGTACAATCTTGTTCAGAACATGAAATATAGTCATGTAATGTTACAAAAAATGCTTGGAATGTCTTGCTGAACTGAAACATTTAATCATTTTTATACGATATAGATGTCTTTATAACTGGATTGCCGGACAAGGGATTATCCTTGATAATTTGATTTTGATTGAAAATCGCATTAGAGATGTTTTGCATAACTTTTGTTACTATTATTGTTTACTGAAATTCATAAATACAAATCACGTATGGCAATGATAGATACATGAAAATGGTTAATATCTTCCTGTCTCGATCAACAAGTAAACACCATTTCTTTTGTCTTTAAGCATATCATTCATAGATATATAACCTACACATGGTTAATTTGTGAAGGATATTGCAAGTGAAGTAACAAAGGTATATAGATTTTGATTTGTGAATATGTATTTCGAGCAAACGTAATTCTGTTCAAATTACAGTAGTTAACTGGTCCGATAAGCGATATAGAAATAAAAGCTTTGGTACATTTCCTTTAAATGAATATGTGTTGATTAACAAAGTAGATTGTATTTGTATGTCGAAGAATACTGCTAGATATACAGACTTAACATTCGTGAACAGTAGCGTATTACCCGAAATGACTCTGATGATCACAACACACTGCCACAGGATAATGTTGGTGCTTAATTATATTGTTTTAATGTGGTATTCATTACTATTTTTAAAAAATATATATTTACTGTAATGATCTTCACTCTTCACTGTTCATGTCACCAAATGACATGATATCTCAAAATTACAAAGATAGGATGAAATGATTTACGCCCCATTCTCCTTTTCTTGAAACATATTCCAATAGGGATTTGACGGAGAAATCTTGGTCATTTGTGTCTATATTCTGCTTTAGAATCAAATGATTCTGGCATTGACAGTAGTTTTTATCTTTTACAAGATTCTGCATCGTAGATTGTTGTCAATTGTTTTGACAGGAAGTTGTAACACATTGCAATCCTATTCTATTTTTTAAAAAAAGTAGGTATAGAGTTTGGGTAACTGATTACTTAATATGAAAACGTCTACCGCACGGATTATCGGTGGCTTCAAGATTGTACAAAAGGCACAGCAATGAATAGAACCTTTCAGTACAACTAAGAGAGCCAAACATAAAGATTGTTTTCCTTCAAATAAATAATAGGTTGATAATAGATATTTTGAAATCCTACCTGTACAAGAGAATAGATATAATACATGATTAATTTTTGATGTCCCAGTATCCGCAAAATATGTTTAACTAGTAATATGTACTCTCAACGTCGTTATTTTCGAGAGGTTGTAATTTTCGCTATTTTCGAGGAGAGAAGAGAGTCGTGAAAAGTAAATTCATTGAACAAAAACCTAACAGAGGAAGGCATAGCCATTTCTTGACTGCCGGAATTTAAATATCCGTGTTCCTTGAATCTTTTGGAGAAACAGCGAAAATTCGAACAATCGAATCATGTTGTTTTACATTAACGGAAATAGTGATTGTACAGCTACAATGAAGGTGTGTTACGTAAGAACGATTGATTGTCTCAAAGATTATCTAATGTGATATATTTCTTGGAAAAAATATTCCTGTCATTAGCAGTTCGCGAAAAGGATTGCAAAATGAATGAACAATTATTGTTATGAGCGTGAGTTGATGTGAGGTAGACCACGTACACAAGTGTATTTATTGTATCTACGCTATGATCAACTGAATAAAATTTCTAATTTTTTGTCGGTGTTCAGAAGTTTTGTATTCTCTTTCACAGCTGAAGTTGGCTGTTGATATCTCCCTTAGAACAATTTTGTGGATAAACAAAAATCATAGTTGTACATACTTATTGAATTCATTTCCCCACTTTGAGAAAACCCCGGAATAGTCTTTGTCAGAGGGAGATTTCTTCATCAAGGTGAAGTTGTTAAAAGTATAGACATCCTAATATTTTTTTCATAAAACGTGTTGAATATCCAAAATCATTCAATTAAAACGTTCGTGATTTTTTTTTAAATATTCATTTCAGTAAGGTCAAATTAAAAGAAAAATAGGGGATGAATGATTTGCTGATAAAAGTGCCTATATTAAGTAAACTAGTGACATAAATGCTCCAAATTAGAAGCTCATAGGGTCTTAAGTCGTTTTACTACGTTCGGAAGCAACATATTATTGTTTTTCTTTTCTGTTGAAATTTTCACCTAAAAAGGTAAACGAAGGATCCATGTCATTATAACAATGCTTAGAGCTGGTCCAGAATACCTGAAGATGTGTCGAGCCAGTTGTAGGAACTTTCAAAATATTCATTTGAATTGACACCAATTCAGTAAAAGTAGTCTTGATCCCATGTGGTTTGTTTTTCCACTTTTGTTTTCTTTTTTAATTAGCTACATTTGCAGATGTGAACATTCTTTTAAAATAGCTCACTGCCTTCTCAATATCACCAATTAAAGAAGTGGTGAAATCTGTACATGTTTGGGATTGGTATTTTATCTTAAAGGGATATTGTGTTACAGCTACATTTTTCCGGTCCAAGTTCTCCTCTGATATGATATCGTTGATGATTCTATAAACTATACGTCTTTCGATTATGCTCAGAAGAGTTATTAGTCTGCAAGGGTCTATTCTAGAGATTTGCTATATATCGACTCATTAGTATTCATTCTCTCATTCTGAAACAGGAGAAATATCTATACCCAACTCTAAATAAGAGTTGAACCGCCTGACAATTCCTATATAGTTTATCTCCCTTTTACCTACATGGATTGAAGTCGAATACTTAAATACACCTTTTTATATAAAAAAATCTCATTTTTAATATGTGCTTCGGTAAATGATTGTGTTTACCCTAAGTGAATGTTCACCAAAATTTTTTTCTAAATATTGAGTTGATATTTCAAGGTTTTCACCATCCTCCGTCAAATTTGATCTACTGCGGATTATCAAGCCATTAGATATCATTTTCTTCTATCTATTCTTTATTTGCACCAGGTTATTCCAGCACATTGTTCACACTGTCGAAGGACTAAGGTACAGATCTTTTGTACCAGGTTATTCCAGCACATTGTTCACACTGTCGAAGGACTAAGGTACAGATCTTTTGTATCAGGTTATTCCAGCACATTGTTCACACTGTCGAAGGACTAAGGCGCAGATTTTTTGTACCAGGTTATTCCAGCACATTGTTCAAACTGTCGAAGGACTAAGGTACAGATCTTTGTTCCAGGTTATTCCAGCACATTGTTCACACTGTCGAAGGACTAAGGTACAGA